GGTCAAGTCGCGCCGCGCGGCACTGGAAGCGGACTTGAAGGGGTGGGCGGAGATAATGATTAAGCGAAGGCAAGAGCAAGCCGAAGCAAGCGGAGCGGCGCGGCCAGCCTCGCTGCTTGTGATTGATATCGTCACCCGAAACACCCCTCCCCTCCCTCCCTCCCCCCCCCTCCCCTCCGCCTGCTTATCCGAAACCCCCGCGAATCGCGCGGGGCCCGATGCCGCTGGTTGTAATTTCCGCAGCAAATCCGCAAGGCTCGTAGTGCCGCGTAGTGCAGCATATTGTCACGGGCGGACGGAGGCAGCGCGCGCGAAGGAAACGCCACTGGGAAAAAAGAGTATTCCCCACACCATAGATGTTAATATTTTGTGGGAGAGCGCTCATTTTTGGTGGTCCTTGCACCTGCGAATCTTACAATTGTTTCCAGCTATTGACTACTACTTCGGTTTTAATTTTTTTTAAATTTTGGTTGGGACGCCTGGTTTGCATTTTTCTGCCGTCCCTCCCCGTCGCTGGCTTGGCGCGCGCTCCCCGCCAGGCGCCGCCAGGTCGGTGGAGGGCGCCGTGGTGGAGAGGGCCTTTCCGCCTGCCTCCGCCGCGCACCTCGGGGGACTCGGGGGACTCGGGGACGAGCAGGCTCAGGAGGCCGTGGCGGTCGTGGGGGCGCCGGAACGGCCGGAACCCGCATCGGTGGGCGGAAGGCCAGAGAAAAGAAAGCAAGGAAGCGCCCTGTAATGATGCCGTCGGAAAGAGAAGGAAAACCTCGTACAGAAAATGTTACCAGTTTTGAGCCTTTAACAAGAAAATGAATTTTGGAAAAGGACTTTCAGAAAAATGTTGGCAACAGGTGTTAAAAGAGGGTGGGGCTGGAAAAGAGGGGTGAAGGCGTGCTAATAGGCGAAGCCATAACGGCCTTGATTGGTGCTAAACAACGAGCAAACTTGTTTAGGCAAGGCGATGATTGCGCACCTCTTTGCTCTACCTCCCCTCCTCCCCCCCCCCCCCTCTCTCTCTCTCTCTCTCTCTTCTCTCTCTCTCTCTCTCTCTCTCTCTCCTGCCCTGTCCTCGCTACACTGTGCAGCTGCCTACCTGGACGCCGCTCGCCTTTGGAACGACGGTATTCGAACTCATCAACACACGGGACGCCTCGTCCCAGCAGTCAAACTTTACCCAGTGACAACAACTCTCAATTCCATCTTCTTTTTTTTTCGGTACTTTATGTCGAGTATGCGCTGTGCGCTGCGCACGTGGGGGAATCATGGGGAGGCGAAATGCCACTGTGAAATGTCACCGCCCGGCTCGGCCGTTGGCAGGCCAGCGCCGCCACCCCCAAAAGCGCCAAACTTTTACTTCTTTTCAGAGGAGCAGACGGGGCGGGTACTTTGGAAGTATGTGTGTCCACTGCCGCGCGCCGTCCGGTCCGTGCTCGGGTCCGTGCGTGCGGCGCGGTTCGGCGGTTTGGTGAGGTAAGCGGGCCCCTCGGGGGTGGCGGCGGGAGAGCCCTCTGGCGGCGGAGGGGTCGCCGATGGGGAAACGGCCAGGGTCTCGGACACACGAAATGAGCGGCGGAGGCCCGGGCAGTGGCCGAGGCCGGCCGGAAGTGGCCGGGTGATGCGCTGGGACGACGGCCGAGGCCGGCACGGTGGTGGTGGAGGCCCCCACGGCCGCCCAGCCCGGCCCCGGCCGCTGCGCGCCACGCCAGCCACGCCGGGGGAGTGCTTATGTAACCGGGGAGGGGTTCGTTATGTAACGTCATTGATTGGATTGAATGGGACGCGCAGCCCGCGAGGCAAGCGGCTCACTGATGAAGGGCCAGAGAGAGAGAGAGAGAGAGAGAGAGAGAGAGAGAGAGAGAGAGAGAGAGAGAGAGAGAGAGAGAGAGAGCGAGAGAGCGAGAGAGAGAGAGAGAGAGAGACGCACGGAAAGAGAGAAAGAGATACTGATCAGCTGAATCGCACTCACGCACACACTGTCTGGAGCACCATCTCCTCGTTGCCGCACCCCTATCCTCCCTGCCTCTCTCTCCCTTTCTCTCTTCCAGTATTGTCAAGCAGGCATGGCATGTGCCCCAGTTCCATTCTGATTGGAATGCTCAGTGGTCGTGTCCGCAAAGCACACACAGACAACAACAACAGCACAACAAGTGCGCTCTGCGAATGGCCACTTTCGGGCTCGTCCGACAATATTGCACTTCTTGGGACGTGGCCGTATTTTCGTCCGTGTGGGCTGGGAAGCCAGGGGTGGCCAGCTGGCTGCCGGCCGCGGCGGCGTCTGTATAGTCCGCGAGGCGCGCGAGGCGCCGGCTGGTATTTGCACCGCGCTGGCTCCTGGCTCCGCGCTGGCTCCGCCCTGCCCGAGGCCGAGGCTCTGGCTCGCTGCAAATGCCACGCCATCAGGAGAATGTCAGGCAGAGCTTGCCTGCGGAAAGGGGGCGGAGCGAGGGATGAAACGCAAAAAAAAAATGTCGATTTTTTTGTGACTAGGAATTAATTTTCTCTTGCTCCCTGTGAGTCTTTTTGTATTTTCCGAGTATTAGTGTAGGAAGTCGGACACTGTGTAGTAGTAGTACACAGCTGAGAGAAATCAGTGTATCGAAAAAGGTGTGGCCCGTGAGGGGTGGGGTGACTCTGATTAGATTGTTTGAACGAACGCCGCTCCCCCCCCGCCCCGCCCGCCCCGCCCCGCCCCGCCCCGCCCCCGCCCCGCCCCGCCCCGCCCCGCCCCGCCCTTTACTTAGGGCGATATCACCTTTTATCGACAGTGTCCTCCCCGGCGTCATTTAGAATCAGGTGGGTGGCGTCGCGTCGCAGGGGCGGAGCCAGGCGGGGCTGCAGGGGTGGCGTGGCACCAATTATTATTATTTTCACTATCGACACGACGGAGAAAAATAAAAAAAGTGAACGTCAAATCGAGTTAGCGTGCAATTATTTCTGTAATTGAATTGGCGCTTCTGGCCTTCCCTTCCTTTCGGATTTTTTTTCTTCTGAAACTCTAAACTAGAGCACGCGGGGTTGGCATAGCTCGCGTCGTGGAAAGTCGCTCCATTTCGGCCGCACCTCGCGCTTGTTTTGACGGCAGACGGTCTCAGCTTACGTCGACTCGACGTTATGAGCGATGTTGCTTGCCTTGGCTTGGCTTGCCTTCCCTCTGCGGCCAGGACACACTCCCTCTGGTGGCGGGGGGGGCGGGGCGGGGCGGGGCGGGGGAAGGAAGTGCACGGGGTTATATGACTTTATGACGCTCTCGGGGCCGCGGATGTTGACACACGGGATCACGTAGGGCCGGGAAGGTGAGAGGGATGAGGGCGGGGCGGGGCGGGGCGGGGGTGTATATTAAGTGGGGTCGGGGCAGCGGCCCGGCAGACTCGAAAATTTTGAGGAAAGTACTGCCATGAAAGAACCGTATCAAAAAGACAATGACGTCATCGAGAAGTTGAATGTTAACATTTTTCGGAGGACTTCCCTCTGTGGACGCTGGCTCAAAGAATGAGTTAGAAATCTGGGAGTCGATAAAGTCGTCAGCGGCGGATCAGTGGTCAACGCGCTCTTGAAATTTGGACATCAACCACTGGAATACTACACTGACAATGAGCTTCAAAGAATCACCAACTCTTTTCCTTTTGCTTTCATTCCCCCATCGAAGAGCAGTGCGACTCCGCCCCGCCAGGCGGCGCTAGCAGTCACCGGCGATACTCCGCGCCCGCGTGCGGCGCTACACCGCGCGCGGGGGGTAGAGCCAGCAGCCAGCCCGCCAGCCGGGCGAGGCGGCGATACCCCGCGCTGCTGTCGACAGCTGTTTGCTGCGGCAAAGTGTCACCAGCCAAAAAGCGCGAAATTCAAACCGAGGCGCTAAACAGGTAGAGTCGCTGCGACGCTCTAACCGTTTGGATATGACACTAGAACGAAAATACTGGTGTCAGAGAGACTCGTTTGAAAGACACTGCAGGAAGAGTGAAATGCAGTTATTGCTGTTCTTTCCAAGGGAAAAATATATTATGACCAGTTCAGCGGCTGCCAGATCTGTCTTCAGCTGTGCGAGAATCTCACGCCAACTCTGGGAACGAGCCTTCAACCAGCAACAGTGTTATCGTAACAAAACCTCTCAGAAAGCAGACGAGCCAGACGCGTATAAAAGGGGAAGAAGAAGAAGTAGAATCCCTACAAGGAGCGGCCCTGCGCTGTCGTCGCGAGGGGTGGAGTCAGACAAAGTGTTGGCATTTATTTCCCTGACGCCCCCCACCCCTTTCACAACACGCATGGAGGCCCCAGAAGAAGACACGCGGTCGGTACACAGGAAACACTGCGATGGGGCGTGAAATACGTGCTTTCCGAGAGCCTCGGGATGTCCTGCGTAACACTCCCTCGAGATTACCACCTACCTCGGATCATTAGCTTCGGAACATAGATATGCTCGCTAAGCTCGGCGCGTTCTCGCCTCGATCGCACTCGTGGGGGACTCCGTGCAAGTGCGAGAGAGCGACACGATCAGTCTGTAAGGGCTGCCGCCCGGCGCCGAAACCAGTGGGGTTGGGGTTGGAAAACCCGGCGCATTTGCATGGCATGCTGCATGGCATGCTGCATAGCATGCGGGGAAGAGTGCACTGGATTCGATTATTTCGCAGTGCCCTGGGGCTTTCACCGAGTGAATCAGCCCGGGCGGGGCGGGGCGGGGCGGGGCGGGGCGAGGTGGGGCGGGGCGGGGCGGGCTGGCGCCACGGCAGATCGAACGCGCCTCGCGGAGGGGAGGCTGGACGCAGGGATGCGTCTGGACGACTGTCTCACCCGCGCTACAAGGTCTTGGCCCTCCTCTGTCTCTCTCGCACTCGTGGTGCGCTCCGCTGGGGTGCGAGAGAGACAGAATCAGGCTGCGCCACCCCTCGGCAGACTCGGGGACGTGTCGAGGAAATGCAGTGGAGGAATCTCATCGTGGACAAGACGAGGGTGGTGCCCCCGGTGGTCACCGCGACCACGCCGACGACGGACGACGGCGGCGGCCTTACCTCCAGGTGACGTTAGTGGAGGGCCACTTGTTGGCGGTGATGGTGTAGCGACGCGCTCGCCGTCGGTGTCCAGGGGCCTCGCCGCGGGCCTCGCCGTGGTGGTGCCGCTTGGCCCTGGACGGGTGGTGCTCGGGGTCGATGTCGGGCTGCCCGCAGCGCGGCCGGTGCACCAGGGCCTCCGTGGCGCGGTTCACTCGCCCCGACACGGGGAGCCCGGAGTACGCCTGCAACACGCACAGGGCTCCGTCAACACCGGGGCATTCCGACTCGCGTCAAGTCTTTAAAAACAGTGAATATTGAAAAGGAATCTTCGATAAGCCACACACACAGGATCTGCCGTCACATAAAAATAGTGGGTGGGGAAGGTGTCTGGAACAGCTGCCTATCGTCCACGCTCGTCACGTGCCAGGCACGTAGCTGAGGGGGCGTCCGAAACTTGCGGCCCGTCGCGGACGCAGTCGGTATCACCGGATGAGGGAGACGAACGGGGAAGGGGGCAGCACACTTGGAAGGGATTGTCGCGTGCCTTCGGGTCTCGAGAAGAAGATAGGTGCACTCCTGGGACCACACCTACGTCCCCTAAATCGAGAGTAGCCGAGAGCAAATCCGCGAATCGCGCGAAGTGAAAGGGGCCGTTTTTGTGGGTGTAGGCGCCAGGCTGCGCCAGCCCAGGCAGCCCAGGCGGCCAAGGCGAAGGCCGGGCGGTCCTGTGACTCAGAGGACCGACCCACAGCCGCGAGCCACGGGAATAGACTCTCGCCGGTCGAATGAATGGCCAGGTCGATGAATGAATTGAAAAAGTATGAAACGCTGGTCGTTACGTTAGGATAGGTTAGGTCAGCTTAAGTTGGGTTAGGTCAGGAGACGTCGGGTGGTTCTTCACAGGCTCCAAAAAACCACGGGGATTTGCAGAAAATGGCGTTGGTTTGTCGACTCACCTGCATGAGCTTGATGGCTTCCCTCAGCTCGTCCTGCGAGCGGAGGAACGGTAGGCTCAAGTCCACCTTCTTCATGTAGCCGTACGTCATCAGGTACTTGATCTGCGGCAGACAAAACGGGGCGCGTTACTCCACCGCAAAAAACGTCGCGCTACAAGACAGTTTGGCAGCCACCCGTCTACGAAAAATGGAGAACGGACGAACGCGGTTTTCGGTGTGGCTATCGGTACTTCCTCCCGCGTGCCTCGCCCGGCTCGCCCGGCATGCTAAGCAGACGACGATTCTGTCTCTGCTTCGGCCGGAAACCATTTGAATACCCGCGGGTACCCTGGAGCGCCCTGCGGCGCGCCCGGCCCAACGTACACACACCCCGCCCGAGCACCACCCAGAACAGCCTTCCAATTTATAAAATGAAGCAGTTTACCGCAGGGATATAGCGCACCGTGTGTACACAGCGGTAAACAACAAGTGCAGCTGGTCATTTGGTCATTTTTTAAGAAAGTAAAAATGAAGTTAACTGCCATCTCTCCCCGTGGCTCTGATTGGCTGGCTGGGCCGCGTGGGCTTCCCTGCCGCCCGATCGACCCGATAGGATTCCCCGTGACCACGTCGGGACCGCGTCGGGACCACCCCATGGCAGTCATGGGGCCTGCGAGCCAAGCTAGCCAGCCAGGCCGGTGGGGTGGGTTCAGCCGTGCCGCGCCGCCGTGCGTCCTGCAGCACGTGAAGCACGAAGCACGCGAAGCTCGCGAAGCACCAGACCGGGAAAACCTGGTCGGGCAACGTTAACGAGATTTGCTCTGTATTATGCATCAGTGGACTTCCCTGGCTCGCCGGTCGGCCGGCCGGCCCACCAACCCGGTGGCCTGACTCGGCCTGGCCTGCTGGAAAAAGCTGTCGCTCCTCCTCGCCGAGTTCAAACAAGAGAGAAGCAGCTCGTTCAGCGCGTTTTCAATTATTTTGCGAGTCTTTCTCTCGGAGAGGTCCAATATTTGTCCCGCTGCGCTTCGTGCTCACACTTTACGAGCCGCCAGCACCGCACCCTGCTCCAAGCCCTGCTCGCTGTGGCACTTCTCGGCCACGCCCGCACCGGCCCGCACACACACGCCAATTTCGCGCGCTGAGCTTGTCCGGGCGGAGCAACACGCGTACGCCCCACACTCTTTTTGTTTTGTTGTCTTTTGTTGTTTCCGATTTTCCTTGTCTCACCGCGGAGGACGCACGGCCCGCACGGGCTGCATATGGCTGTGGGAACACAGTGTGCCTCCGCGTGGACAATGCGGCCCTTTGTGGCGATCCCTTTCCACGCCCATTCAGGACTCTTAAGGCCCTTCCCGTCTCCCTTCTCGGCCTTTCCTATTTCCCCCTCCCTCCCCCTTTCCCCCTCCCCCTTTCCCCCTCCCCCGCCGCACCGAGTGAGTCATTGACTTATTGGGGCACGAGCCAGCCAGCCAGCCGCCCCATACGCGCTGGGAGGCGACTTCATATGCATTTCTGCTGCTTTTACGTACAAAGGCGAGGGGAGGGAGACATTCTCCCGCTCTTTCTCTCTCGTTCAAGTACAGGAAACGCCCACACTAAAAAAATCCCCGCCGCCGCCTTTGTATTTTTAGTATGGTCTTTCTTTTCGTACAGTAAAGTCCTTTTCGGAAAGCGGAAAAAAAATTCAGGTTCCACCGAGATTTGAACTCGGATCGCAGGATTCAGAGTCCTGAGTGCTAACCATTACACCATGGAACCGCGATGTTCGGACAGCGTGCTGCACGGCCTTTGAAACGTCAAGTGTCCGCTGCGCGCGGGTGAAGAGTGCCCGCGCCAAAAATGGTACGACAAGGATGAGATTCGAACTCACGCGGGCAGAGCCCATTGGATTAGCAGTCCAACGCCTTAACCACTCGGCCACCTTGTCGGTTGGGTGCCGGCGGGGCAGACGCGACTCTAAAGGCCCGGCAGAGCGCGGCCGCGGCAGCGGATAGGCGCCTACACTGCCAGAGCCACGATAACGGTGCGCCCGGTTTGACGGGCCGGGGCGTGGCGTGGCGTGGCGTGGTGACCGCCGGGCGGGGCGGGGCGGGGCGGGGCGGTCTGAGACGGTCTGGCTCCAATATTTGCCCATCGATAAGGTGAAAGTGTTTTATCCCTACTCGAGACGGACACCGGCGACGACAAAGGCCTAGCGAACCCGAAAAAACACGCAACGCTGTTGGCACCTCTGGCATTATGGATTGGCAGCAGTGAAAATAACGAAACGCCGACGTTGCAAAAAGACGCTCGCGCTCGGCAGCCGACGATTCGTCAGACGGAGACAAGACTATCCACGCGGCAAGCAGACTGCGAGTGTTCTGTCCCTCTCGCGCCAAGCGCCGCCAAGCATCGTGCACTCCGACGATATTCACACCCCAGGCCCTTCATCACGCGATTGCGATCGGAGCATTGTCCCGGCAATTACAACGGTGGCGACGGAGAGAGACAGCGAGCTCGCGGCGGAGAGGCGGAGACAGAGGATGTGTAATTAACTGCATTCGCGGATTCATACCGACGGCGGCAGCCAGCGCCAATTAGAAGACATCGCGCGCCATTCACATTCACATTCACGCACCGCGAGGGCTGAGGGGCGGGTCGGTTAGGCTGCCGCCCGGTGCGCGAAGCATCGCGAAGCATCGCGAAGCATCGCGAAGCGCCAAGCGAGTCGGCAAAGCTGCACTTGTATTTTAATGATTTTAATACGGTTTCAGGCGACCAGCAGCAGCGGAAGTCACAGTCCTATATTGAGTGAGATAAGCAAGGGCTCCACTGGGTTTGGTTGAAAGACTCTGCTGTATCGAGCAAGGGTTAGGCTAGCTAGGACTCTAGTATGCAGCAGGGAGGACTACAGGGGTTAGGTTAGGGCTAGGTTAGGACCAAGCGGCGGGAAAGTGTTCCAAGTCGGGTTCCAAACGGTTCCAAACGCACTGAGCCAACAACCCGGCGCGACCCGGCCTGCAGGTGTTCGGAACACGCAGACCACCTGTGAGTGTGGATACACGCGGGCTTTGTGTGGACGACAAAACGCTTCAAAACACGAAAATAAAACTTTGAGGCCAATCACGCCGCGCGTCGCGTGACGAGGCGAAGTGCGACGTTGTTGTTATATGGAACCGACTGGCGCGCGGTACACATCTGTTCCGTCTGGTCACACGCACACACACGCATTCACACACACGCACGTACGCATGCTGAATTCATTAAAAAGTCAACTCGCGAAATGATAGAGGTCGCAGAAGGTGATAAAGTGCCGAGACATGCGACAGGCGGTGCGAACAAGCGCGCCGACATAACCCTACACTCAAAAAAATTTCAATACAAAATTCTGTAACATGGTTACGCAGTAATTTCCACTACAAATGTTACAGAATTTTGTATCAGCACTGATACAAAATTTTGTATCACGCGTTACGGTAAACTGTTTCCCGGTTACAGAATTCTGCAATGCAAAAATCAGAAAAATTTGTCGTTTTATAAACAAAATTGAACCTCAACGATGGTTCATTCCTACACATTTGCTCGCGCCCCTTCCTTACTTCCGCACCGGAGGAACTGAGGGCGTTCCCCGGTTACCGCTGCCCCCGGTTGCCAAGCTCGGGCATGCTACGCTTCCCCGAAGCGCCGTAGGAGTCGGCAAAGCTCAGACTGTCAGATTTAATCCCGGTTCGGGCCACGCAGCAAGTCACAGGTTATTTGGTGGGAAACGAGGCCCTCCGCGGGGTTAGGTTTGGCCAAAAGTTTCTGAAGTACCATTAGGCTAGTTAGGACTTTTCGCAGCTACATTAAGTTTGGGCATGTTAGAATTAAGCGGCGTAATTTGTTCCAATTGCGTTAAACGGTTCCAAACGATAGCCAAACCTTGTAACGACGTTGCAGGTTTTCTGTATCAGCAGCCCACCTTAGTGTGGATACACGGGGGCTTTGTGTGGAACTATAACGCTTAAAACACGAAAATAAAATTTTTGAGAATCAGCGGTTGAATTTTAAAGGGCACTGATTCGTAAACTGGGGGTAACATCTGTTCCTTTGGTACAGAATTTACGCATCCAAGATCCCATCTAATTCATTGTAACTGGGAAATGATAGTGGTCGCAGAATTTGAAAAATCCAAAATCGTTACCAAAATCCTCGATTTTTTAACCCTACTTCAGTCTCTCCCGCCAAAACGGCGGCAAACCCCATTTTTACCAGTGCACCTCCCGAGGTGCAGCTGAGAGTGGCGGAGTCAACCGCCTGTGACGGCAGCCGTACGCACGCCATGGGGAATTATCCTGTGCATCGTTGCAATCATCATTTCCATCCTCCATGCTGCACAAGCGGCGCCGGGAAATGATTTAATGCGGGAGACAGTTCACTAGCCTCGCGCAGGTCCCTCCCAAGTCCCCCACCCCACCTTTCCCCCTTTAGGTTGGCACAGACGCCAGGAAAAGCCCGCGAGATCGAGGTGTAGTACCTCGGCACGGAGGACGAATGGGTGCCGCTTGGGGTTACGAATGGGGCATGCTGCATCACTCTATGTGCTTGTGTGTGTGTGATTGTTTTGGTGTGTGCGTGTGTGTCAGTGCACTTGAGTGAGTTTTGGTGTGCGTGAGAGCGGCCGATGATTCTGCCTTGCCTGGTGCTAATGTGTGAGTGACGACGCGCGTGTCCCTTTGTTTTCACGATGTGTCATGATCGACCTGTGCTGCGCGGAAACGAAAAATAAAGGACTCTGCTGGTTGAGAAGAGAGAGAGGGAGAGAGAGAGGCGGGGCAGACGAAACGTGGTGACCCGAGCCAGGCCAGCAGGCCAAAGACCTCGTGCGGCCGGCGCTCCGCTCGGCTGTCCAGACAATATGCTAATCTATGGCGCGGGCAATCCGCAGTGGGGCTCCTCAGACTGGGTGTCGCGTGCCGTCGGCCCGTCAGCCACTGTACGAGTCAATCCGCTGCGAGCGCCAAGCCATAGCGGCGACTTTCGGCTAGTTTGGATTTCGGTTAGTTTTACCGGGCATTTTACAGCGTACAAAGACAGGGCGAAGACTGATTCATCCGCGGCCGGTGAAACCTCGAGGACGGATCGCGGCATGGCGGCATCGCGAGGCGAGTGAGAGATTTGGCGAAGCTCGCGGTAATCCCTCTTGGCGACCGCCTGTTGTTCTAAGCGGCGCGGCTTTCGCTCAGCTTCGCCCGAGATCGGGTTTATTGTGACGCCAGCTGGCAGCCTCCCAGCACCGGCCGGGCCGTGGGCATGGCGATGACGACCGCCATCCTGGAGGAGGTCGCCGTCGAACGACGCTCTTCCGGACACGTGTGTCAGCCATCGGCAGCAGGCGTAAGCAACGCGAAGCAACGCGCGGAAATGGAAGAGGACTGCTCGTCTAGTTCCTTGGAGTACGCTGCGCGTTTAAATGACTGAATGGCTACTATGCTTCGTCCAAAAATGGCGGATTCTTTGTTGGGCCTTTCGTGTGGTTGCACGTGGCTTGGCCAGCGCCTGCCGGAAGGCACTGGGGACTTCGTCATGAATATAACGGATCGTTGTCCTTGTCGGTCGGATCCGTTTTTCAAGCGCCGCGCCGAAGTCGCCGGGAGGTTCAAGCAAGTCCACGCCGAACGGCCGGAGCCTATTTCTAGCCGACGGTCCTCGATAAACCACGCCGGCGTGCAACATGCCTGTGCCGTCACCGCGTGCGCCACGGCGCCGCCACCCTGCCGCACGGCCACGCACGGCGAGGACACGAGCATCCTGGCGTTCTAGGGTCGCCAAATGGATGGCCCTGTCGCGCCGCGGCAGCTCTCCCCGAAGGACTCCGAAGGACTCTCGCATTGTGTTCCCAATACGGAACCCAGAGGCCACGCACTTCTTCGTGCGGACTGCGTTGCATTCTGTGCTGCAATGGCCTGGCCGCGGCGCACTCCGCGCCTCGCCGTGCTACCAAGGGGGCAAAAACTCGCGCAATCATGTGTACACGGCCCCCGAAATCACATGCGAATCATTGAGAATCACGCGAAATCAAGCAATCCGAAATCAACCAAAATCACTAAATTCGACCGAAATCAGGCAGAATCACACGAAACCAGGCAAAATCAGTCCGAAATCATTTCTTTCCGAACACAATCACACACAATCCCGCTCAACATCACCCTGGTGCGTCGCGAAATAAGGCGAATCAGCCAGGAAATCATTGCGTTTTCCGAATCATGTGTACACGCAAATCCCGAGTTTTTGCCCCCTCGCGTGCTACCCATGCCGCCCTGCCCGTGTTTGGGGAGCCCTTTTGGTCGAGTCACGGTGAGCACAAAACCGGAGGCACACTCGGTGAAAAATAACCGAGAAGGCGCGAAAACTGGGGTGCCGTCTCTCCGACCAACAGGACATCTTAATGCTAATTCGACGGACAAATGGAATCGCGGTTTACTGAAGTAATGAATCGATAACCACGAGGCTCTGGTGCCAGCTGCCGCCGTCGCTTCGAGACAGATAGCGCTGTTGTGAACTGCCCCCGCGGGGTACCCAAGGGTCATCAGGAAGATCACATTTTTCTCTTCCATTTTCCTTCCACTCTTCTTTTTTCTCGCTGTGGCGTCATCTAGGCTAACTTCTGGAGAGGGTCAACGAATCTCGGACTGCGCTGTCATTGGTCGGCCGGCTTTTTATCGTCTGGCTTGTCTCGCCGGGGAAGACGATCCACTCGGAGACTTTGTGGCAAATTGGGTGGCACGCGTGCTGGCTGCTGTTTTATTGATTTGCAAACGGCCATGAAAGCCTTCTCGCGTAACGGGCCACCAATTCGTTCTCACTTCGGCAGGAGATAACCCCGCCGGCAACAAGCTGCCGAAACCAGAGAGGAACACATTTCTATTGGAGCGACTGGGTTTTGTTGAACGTGTAAGGACATTACTCGTCGTTACAAACACGATTGACCTCCGCTCTGGCATTAAGCCCTGTCGCAAGTCGGCACTACATGTAGTACGACAGCTCGGTGATGTAGTGTGTCATCTTGCACGATAGCCATCGGCACGGCCTTGCCGACGGAACCGCCGCCACTGCACTGCAGTGCTTCATCTCCGCTTCATCGCCGATCGACGGAAGGCTGCGACAACACGGCGGTGTGACTCAAGCGGAAGGCGGGAGGAAGATTCGCTCATTCCGAGGATAAAGACTTCGGGAAACGCGCCCAATCGCGACCCCGCCAATGGATTCCTCGTCCGGAGAGCATCCATTGGTGGGGTCACACGTTCGGTTCGAGTCCCATTTGGCGACTCTGGAGCTCAAAACGCGTCTAGAGTTTTGTCCGCCTCCACCTGTCTTCCGGCCCACTGTGTGACGGGTCCTGCGGGTGTCTAATTCACCCGTCCTTCCGCGGAGGTTCCGGTTCCACTACTGCAAAGAGCGGCCCGGCCAGACCCCTACTCGGCGCTCGGCCACTTAAATTTGACACGCACTCGCGAGTATCGATTTTTCGTCGCCGCCTCCTCGGACACGCCCAGCGACACCCGGCGACGTGTCCGGGGGCAGTGCCTCGCGGGACAGCGCAACGACCTGGAGGGGCGGGGCGGGGCGGGGCGGGGCGGGGCGGGCCGGGGCGGGGCGCCGCCGGCGCACGCACTCTTTGTCTGCTCGAATGTTGAGTGCAGGAGGGTGTTCTCGACGGCGCGGCTACTGGATTTGGATGACGCGGATGTTTGGGGCATCAGCTGGACTCACTGGCAGGTCTGAGCGGCTCCCGCTCGAGCCCATCCTTGGCACAGAAATACCATCTCCCCGGCCCAGGCGCCCCGGCCCCGCGCCCCGCCCCGCCCGCCCCGCCCCGCCCCGCCCCGCCCCGCCCGCGACGCATCGCCTGGGCCCAGTGGGAATGCAGAAAGGGCGAGGCCGCAAATATTCGCGCGTCGCCTGCTGAAGACCGATTCCGCACCGACGGTCTCTGTCTCTCTCGCACCGCCGCGGGGGCCGCGGGCGCCCCGTGGGTGCGAGAGAGACCGCGCGGCGGACGTCGCGGAAGAGATCGCCGTCACTGGGCCACGACCAACATCCTGCGGCTGCGACGCGCTGACGCGCCGCTCTGTCTCTCTCGCACCCCCGCGGTCCCCCGGGACGCCTCATGGGTGCGAGTGGGACAGAGGCCGCGACAGAACGCCCGATTCACTCTGCGCAGAGACTGTGCGTATCCTTGGCTGTACCTTTCTCTGTATTTCACAGTGTACCGCATGGGGCACGGACGAGAGCGGCTGGCGTCTCTTCACACGGGAGACACTCTCTCTCTCTCTCTCTTTCTCACACGCACGCACCAGATCCACACATCAAGAGATACACAAGTAACAGACATAAGTGATATCGATTAGCCCAACCGCCGGCAGGGTAGACACACAGAGAGACCACTCCCGGGGGGTAGCACAGGCCCAGGCCGGGCCCAGGCCCACACAGCTGCGCGCTTGCGTGTGTGTGCGTGTGTGTGTGTGGGGAGAGGGGAGGGGGAGGCAAAGCGAGGCAAAGCGCATACGAAGCGTGGGTGGGGCGGTGAAGGTGCCGGCGGCGCCGTCCGGGAGGTAAAGGGGGGGGGGGGTGAAGCATAGGGGTGCAGGCCGGTGCAGTGACACATGCTCTGGGCCACGCCCGTGCTGAATAGACCGCGGCCGGCCAATGCATCGCAGTGCAGCGATCGGCTGTGATTTTTAGCAGTGCCGTCGGCTGCCTCGAAAGCGGCGCGGATTTTCAGAGAAGACCTGTCAAGGCGATCTAGCGCGACGCGTTGTGACGGCAGCGCATCGACTTGCATTACCGCCTCGTTCGTCGTCGGGGCCTTCTTCCCCTCAACGCGCCAGTATTCCCCCTCGCCCCGCGGCCTCTCCACGGTGCCGACGGTCTAGAAAAGGAGAGCAATGCCTGTTTTCCCCCGACGCCCAAATAAACAGGGACTGGGTGTCAAACAAGCGTGGTGCCGACGGAACGTACGGCCGCGGGCACGGCGGGCACGGCCGGCACGCCGCAGCGCACCGAGGAACACCTATTTAGGGACATCACGGGGATCATCGCGCCGGCGTCCGTCAGGCGCCGTCACGCCGCGGCAAGCGGGGCGAACAGTGCACCGACACGCCGCACAGTGGGCCAGAAGACCGGTGGAGGCGGCCAAAGCTCTAGACGCGTTTTGTGCCCCAGAGTCGCTAAACGGGACTCGAACCGAACGTGTGACCCCACACCAATATGAATTCCTCGTTCGGAGAGCAATCCATTAGTGGGGTCACACGTTCGGTTCGAGGCCTGTTTAGCGACTCTGGAGCTCAAAACGCGTCTAGAGTTTTGGCCGCCTCCACCGGTCTTCTGGCCCACTGCGCGGCGTCGGTGAATTTTTCGAGCAAACACTTTGTGCCACCACTGCAAATAGGCTGGGACTCACCAAGTCCTGCGACACGAAGTCCCGGTCCCGGTAGGAGGGCGCGGCGTGCGCGAGGGGCCGCAGACCGGGCCACAGGCAGGGCCACAGGCAGAGGCAGGCGACGGCCAGCGCCAGGTGCCGCCGCCCGGCAACACCCTGGACGGGGGGCGCCGGGGACGCCCGCATCGCCGTCACCTCCGCGACGTCGGCGACGTCCCTGCAGTCATGGCGGCCGTCGGGGACGTCGTCGGGGACGTCGTCGGGGACGTCGTCGGGCAGGCGCATAGGGCGCCGCGCCCCGCGCTCCTCGAGGACTCGGAGGAGGCCCTGGCGGCGGACCGTCGCCTCCCCCTCCGGCCCGGGGCCCCCGGGGCCGAGACGCCGCCGCACGGCGTCGTCGGCGCGCCGCGACCACACTGCGAATTGCCTGTGTTTGCAGCGAGTGCCGTCGTTAGGGCCCTCTAGGGCCGCGGGCGTCGTCGGCGCCTTCTGCTGCTGCAGGTCCCTTCGGCGGAGAGAGCCAGGCTCGGACGCCACCTGCGGAGAGAGAGAGAAAGACGCAGTGTCAATAGCATTGTCTCGTTGTCTAATATCACGATTCAGAGAGGCAGAATTAGGAGGGGAGGGGAGGGAAGGGGGAGCCAGCCGGGGCCTGTCCTCTGCTGCAGAGAGACGCGCCACGGCTGTCGAGGCTGTCAAACAACGAACAGGGAAAACTTGGAGGAAGAAAGAAGGGAGCTTCCGATACTCAAAGTTACAGAGCTAGAGCTCGGGGGCGGTTCATAAATTATCATGTCGCGCCGTGAGAAGGTGCCACGGCTTCTGATGCTTCCATATTTTTCTTCCGTGATTAATATTCGAGGGTCCGCAGCGTCTACTGTATAGCGTTGGGGCTTAGTGACTCTGCCCACTTTCAATTTTAATGCAGAAGTAAGTGTTCACTGTGCTCAAAACTGTTCCTCTATGCACGGAGAAATTCCCAGAAGCCGCCCAGGACCTAAAATCTACTGGGTGCCTTCGTGAGTGGGCCACACACTTGCATTGTAGGCGCCGTGCCAGGCGTGCCAGGCGCCGCTAGCCCCGCCCCGTGGATGACGAATCAGTTCGTCCATTTAGCAGTGGAGCTGCCTCTGCATTGCTCTGCATACGGGCCCGACGACACGCCCACTCCACGCGAAGCAGCGCGAAGCGAGGAAGAGTCAGTGTGTCACGCAGAAAAGTGCGTCACTAATTAAAATTTTTGGGAAGCTGGACGGTCTACGACTTCGTGGAATCCGACTCTGGATCAAGAAACTGCTGACAGTTCCACTAAAGACTAGGCGGCCTCGACTCCAATTCATCAACCGCTGGACTGTCTTGACGAAAAATGATGAATTCAGTGATTGTGTTTTCGAAACTGCCGATTCCTCTGCTGTGTTTCTCAGCGTGCTTGGCTAACCAGGTTACCAGTGGAGGTGCACGACAGCTCGGGCGGACAAGGAAAATGAGGGGAAAGACTCCCCGTCGCCTCGAAGCGGACCGCGATGCTGTATCCTTCGGCGCGGAGATCAGTGTGGTGGCGAGAGACACGGCGAGGTGACAGGCCCGAGCCCCACAAATCTCTCGGTAATCAGTCGAACGGACTATTCTAGGCTCTCATTCAACCGTTCCCCTCAATTAGAAATCCCTAAAAGGGAGGCGGATTCCGCGGCGCGAGCGGCGCGAGCAGGGGAGGGGGGGGAGGCGTCTGGCCCGAGTTTATGGCAGTCTCCCTTTCCCCTGCATACGAAACGAGACGCGGCCCACCCCGGCCGGGCCGGCATCATCGCAGCCATGAGGTACACTGCCGAAAAGACGAGCCGGCAACGAGATGTTTCCAGCGGTGTAAGTGGAGCAGGCTGCCGGCTGCGGTCGTAGCGCAACGAAAATGGAAGCGCCAGCCAGGCGGGTACTCACCGCCCCTGGCTGCCCCTGGCCTGGTCTCTCGAGCCTTCCTCGAGCCATCCCGCCACACAGTGGGCCAGGCGGACAAAACTCTAGACGCGTGCAGAGCTCCAGAGTCGCTAAATGGGACTCGAACCGCACGTGTGACCCCACCAATGGATTGCTCTCCGAACGAGGAATCCATTGGTGGTGTCACACGTTCGGTTCGAGGCCTGTTTAGCGACTCTAGAGCTCAAAACGCGTCCAGAGTTTTGTCCGCCTCCACCGGTCTTCTGGCCCACTGTGCGCCGAACAAGCCGCACATGATTCATTCAGTTTTACTACTTCATTCCGTTGGATGCACAAAAGTGCTTCGCAGTAAAGGCACTGCGTGGGACAGGCTCACGCACGCGCGTCTGGGACACCAGTTTAGTTCCAATAATTTATCCCGACCTTCTGGGGTGACAGTTGGCAACGCGGTTTCCATAGCGACTGTCGGAGGCAAAATCGCACGCGGGTCGCGAACGGGTTGCAGTCCGATGAAAAGAATCCAGGCGTCGAAGTTCGCAGACTTCTAGCATGACTCACGCGCTGTGGTCGGCAAGAGGAAGGCCTTGTGGTCGCGCTACTCCAGGTTCATGGACCAAGGACCCACACAAGGTACAGCGCGCTGAAGAGTGTCACAGCAGTAACCGCTAGAGCAGGACGTCAATCGACTTGTATGCACCCAAGCCCCATCGCGACAAGCTGATGTCTTTTTTTGTGGGCCCGGCCTGGCCGTGGTGGCGTGCTGCGTCCGTTGAACTTGACGCTCTTCTTTATCATGGAGAGTGCGCGCCACGCCCCGCCTCGCCCCGCCTCACCCCGCCCCGCCCCGCCCCGCCCCGCCATAGGCGCACCTATCACGTCGCGCATCGGCCAAGGCAGCAGCGCCCTAGGCCCTTGGCCATGACAATAGGAGAGACCCGTGCATGACAGACTCGTAGGAGAAGAAAAAGAAGAAGAAGAAGAAGAAGAAGAAGAAGAAGAAGAAGAAGAAGAAGAAGAAGAAGAAGAAGAAGAAGAAGAAGAAGAAGAAGAAAAAAAAGAAGAAGACGGGTGGCCACACAGCACTATACTACACACACGGTCTGCTTCATTCACAACCCGGGCTACTATCAGCTGACGCCATGAGCGCCACTTGCGTCCAAAGGCGCTTGGCCCCCAGGCCCCAAGGCCGGCCCACGGCCCACGACCACGGCCCACGGCGGGGCCCTCATGTCAGCCATGAGGTCGACAACTCCCAGCCCCGGGATGTCCAGTGTGGTGGACAGCACATGATCCCGAACCGTGGTTCCATATCGCTCTGCACTGAAGTGGTTGGCCCGGTGAATGGTCCAGGAAACCGGCGTGACGATTCCTCGAACGGCGTTTTTCTATCAGCCAGAACGCACTTGCAACCCATTGCCAGCATATGCCGGAAACAATGCATACGCCGGCTGGGGCCCACTGGGGCCGGGGCCGGCCGTGGCATTGGCTATAATAAGAAGTCCGTGATAGCTCGGTGCAACGCGAAAAAAGGAACAGGAAAAGGCTGAGACCAACGGGTTCGACAGAGAAGGGAAGTCCACGCAGTCAGGGCAGACCCCCCGAGTTACACTATTCATAAAGGGCTTCCCAATTCAGTCGCATGCGGCTCGGGAACCACCGGGAAGCGTCACTATCTCGACACCTCTATCGCCCACGAAAAATGGGCCTGGTGTGAGTGCGTGCGTGTGCCGCGGTGGACGCTATGGTTCTAGTCGCGCCCCGCCCGAGCCCCGCCCGAGCCCCGCCCGAGCCCCGCCGCAGCCAAGCTTGGTTTTGACTTGCAGCAGGCCAAGGAAGTTTCCTTCTTCCTCGGACAGAGAGCCGGAAAAGCACTCTGTCTAGGCGAATCCGAATGTAAATAATCGAGGCGCGCTGTCGGTCCGTCCGCCCGTCCGTGCCCGTCCGTCCGGCTGACCTGAGCAAACGCCGAAATGGGTGAAATCGGAGAGGCACGACCGCGCTCTGCTCTCGAGCAAACAAAGTCCCATCCATCAAAACTTTCTTTTCGCGTGTGCTCTGCGAAGGTGACCCTTCATTATCTCGTCATGCAGGACCCGTCCAGGCGAGCTGCTCGCTAGCACTTGGGGGAGGGGGAATTTAAGGGCTGTATGGGGGTCGATGGCTATCGCACTGAGCATTGGACTGCGGGCGTCGCTGGCGTGCTCGCGATGGGCTGGCTGGCTGGCTTTGCCTGGCTTGCCTGCTTGCTTGCTTACGGAGCACTGACCCTCTGGAAGGATAGAAGTCGGCTCGCTGGGGTCACACTCGAATCCAGGCCAGGACGGGTCATTTCTGCCATTCAACACACCGAAGACGTGTTTCTTGTCGCCTTTCGACAGCAAGGTCGCTGCCCAGTGTATGATTCTCCTCATTTCCAAGGCACCGCACTGAAATTGGCTGCGGTCCGTCCTTTCGGGAGGTCGAGGTGCCACGGCAATAATTGATGAACTTGATTGGCACTGGCTTTTGAGTGAGCCAAGGCAGGTGAGGTGAGTGAGGGTGGCGGTGGAGTGGTCTAGCTGCCGTGACCCGACACTGCTTTAATGTTGCAGCACTGACAGGGGGACCTCTCCAACTTCGAGACAGCAAACAGATTCTAAGGCTAGTGCAGGTCGGGAGAGTTCGACCGCAGGGGATCAACCGATCGCTTGGAAAACAGGGGACCTGTCCATCGATTTGATTCAAGGTTGACCTCAAAACCAATTAAATTGAATTTAGGTCAATTGCAGTTGGTTTAAGCCCTGCAAGTTCAAAGTCCCAAGACCATAACTTTCAGACTCGTGTTGAATCGAGACTTTCTTTTTAGCGGGAACCCTATCCAGCCATGTAAGATAAGAAGGTTGTCGCCCACAGAAAGTGCCAGAAGAAACGACTAAACTGAACTTGTACCAAGTTTGCTGCCATTCCGCACGGAGGGTGCTTTAATAGCGGCGAAAATGGGGGAACGGCACACAAAGTAATAGCGCTCGGGTCGGCGCGCTCCATGCAAAAACGGCGGGCAATCTGCGCGAGATCTAGTACGCCACTAGTCACACTCTTTCGAGGCGGCAGTCGGTCAGGAAGGCAAAGGCAGCCAGGGCCCGCCTACGCTTTCTGGGAAAGGGATGCCCTTCCCTCGATGACAAACTACAAAACAGAATCTAAATTTTCCCCGGGTCG